GGAAGTGAATGGAATCAAATGAAATGTTGGACCTTTTGGGATTGATGTTATTATTTAAAAGTTTTGGGTTGCAAAACTCATGACTCGCACTAGTCATTTTCCATGGACACTCATGATCGTCTTGTGTTTGCTTATTAGATCATTGTCTGTGGTGAGCTGCTGTAGTCATAAAACGAAACGTGTGCTGCTTGCTGTCAGGTATCGCCAACCTGTTCAGCAGGATTGTTAAACGGATGCACCTGAGGCAGCAACAGTCATCAGCTTGTTAAATCCAACTGAAGAGCAGTCGTTGTCACCTTTCAGTCTTCCTGATACTGTATTATTGTTTTCTAAATACCTGTTTGATGGGCCAAAGAGCTCAAGTAATTTAATCAATGAAGATTACTGATTGAACTGCATGTGATTTAACTCAAAATAAAACATCTTGTTAAGTGAAAGGTAATGCCTTATCTCACATCAGTAGATTCATTGTTAAAACAGGTTAGATTGACTACCTGTCTCTGATCTTTCCTTAGTGTACTGAGTTAATGTCTGCCTCTCACATGATTTGCAGTGTAGTTTTACTGAGTACAGTAGTAAGCAATGTGTGAAACACTTGACCTGGAGCAAGTAGGGACATGAAAGATTGAATGCGTGGCCAACAAAAACACATTGTGACATTTCAAAGATGCCCGAAGATATCGTAACTTGTCTTATTCTTTAATCTTAAGAACCACTTTCATTTCTCAGATTTATTCAACTCTAATATGTTCATGTATTAATTTGGCTGTACGTTTTTAAGAAGCATTCCCTTAACAACAGCAAATAATTAATAGCTTTCACCCTTAGGCTGTATTAAGAAAGACAGCAAAGTATTGGTGATGATTAAATTAAGGAAGGGAAAAGGAAACACATTTACTCAATCACGATGTGTTGGATTTGTTGTGGGGGTAAATGTCTCTTAATGAAAAATATGATAAATAAAATGTGTCTGATTAAAAAGTTTAGTCAGCAAGAGCTAAATAATGGAAACACATGATTTCTCAAAAACAAAGTTCAAATAAGCTGATCATGACATGAACCTATGTCATCCAGGAGAGTCCTGTGATTCGACGCAACACTGTGACTATAGTTTGTAGAAACAATGAAATGGGAATACAGAATAGTGAAAATATAACTACTTCTCAACTCAAATTAAACATAAAAAAACTTTTAGATCATATCTTTGACTTTTTCCTAAGAATGAGCCTCTGAATCATTTTCCTCAACGTTGATTGAAAACCTTAGTGTGTTTTTTATTTCTCATTATTTGGAACAGTGGAAATTAAACTGAATATTTTACTGAGCTATCTATCGATTCCATGGAAATCAGTGTCAAACAGATAGTTATCATCTAAATTAATGCGAAAGCACCTTTTTAGTCTGGTGTTAGATCATCATGGAAAAGCAAAAAGTTGAACTAGATAATACATGCGGCCCGCATGGTGACTCACCCTTTCCTCGCAATATTCCTCAAGGAAGGCAGCCAAATGTTGTTAACAACCTGGGATTTTTTTACTGTGAGCTCATACCAGTTTCAGTTATACTTCAGGTAGAGTTCATCACCAAGTTTCTACCAAGATTATAATAAGGTTGCTACTCTTTCCCAAGAAATGACCCATTATTGTTACAAGGAAGCTACAGTATGTTACATACAAAACCAAGAGTGGGTCGACTGGTAGAAATCGGCAACACAATTGTAATAAAATATTACGTCTCACCTTAAACTTAAGACATACATACTGTCGATTTTGCTCAAGATATTTGAGGTACCCAAAGGATGAATCTCATCTTGACTTTGGACAATCAACAGATCCAGTTTCCCTAAACTGTACTTCAAGAGTTGTTAAGTTAGCATTTTATCAACTTACAATAGTTATGTTAACATGCTCAGATTTAAGAAGTAAATACAGTATTTGTAAAAATGTTAACTTGATAAAATTCTTAGAATTGTCAACATGTTTGCTTAAATGTTTTTGTTTGATTTGTTACAGCTCCAAGGTGGCAAGTCATTGTTGATATAATAATTCTTAAAACAATTTTGCATTTGTTGTTGTTGTTATTCCCCACCATTATACTGGGAGACAAAAAACACCCTTACCTCCATTATCTTTTTCACGCATACAATTGACTGCAACATCATGAATACTAATACAAATTAGTGGCCTGGATTTCAAGTGAGGCCTTTTGGGATGGTTTTGTTAGAAGTGGATGGACAAAGTTAGTGGGAATGTACAAACTAGCTGGTTGAAACAACCTTAGACTCTAGTTTGGTCCTACATTTAGGATTGAATAGCACCCAATGTGCCTGTTGTTTAGAAGTTTAGATTACTACTGTAGATCTCACTTCTCCAGTTTTGTATCACATTGCTCAACGGGGACGGGAAATACCAGATGCCTAGCCAAAAGCAACATTATATGTAGAAAGAAAAACAGCCCATTCATTTTTCCAGACTCCATCAAACGGTGGGGCTCACAGTTCCTGAATGAGCTGTTTCCTAACAAAAGACCACATAGTTTCACATTGAAAAAAACAATTACTTTATTAAGAAGTCTTTTTTCAGTCTGGGCTCACCATAATAATTATGTAATTGAGCACAGTTCTGCTTTAATGTGTTATTTATATACCCAATGTATATAAAGGATACTTGGGTTTTCTTTAAAGCTTAAACTTCATATTTATTTTAATGATATATATCACATCTATATAAAAGAAGAGACCTAAATGCCATTTTCATAATGTCATTCCCTCCATGTGTGGTGGGATGAACTTTGGTTCTCCCCAAGAAGTCACTCGCTTGTGTTTATCCAGACTCAGCGGGTGAGAGCAGCGGTGCTAAAGTCACACCTCAGGCCACTAAAACGGAGTCTGGATATGAGGTCCCCAACATCAGGTGTCCAACAAAGAATCTGACGTGCCAAAGTTCTCACACAGGACGACCATAAAGGAATCTTAATTGGACACTGACTCTCCTTTGAAGGCAAGATCAGTCAAAGTCCGATAAACCGTTTTAACTTCTCAATTTAAGAAGAAGACACACTTTATTTTTCCTCACGGGGAAATGTATTTCTCAACTCTGTTGTGTTTACACACATTACACATAGTAGATCCCTGTTTTGATTAAATCCTCAAGTTGACATGATTATACTAATCAATACGAAGATTGTATTTAGATTGTATACTTCAAGGTTGCAAATACAGACATGCACACACATTATGGAAATTGGGCGTAATTTCGCTTTGTGATGCAAGTTGGATAAGGTTATGATTTCCCTGGAACTCTGATATCTGTTAAAAGGAATGCAGAAAAAGACGTGCCGTGATAATTATTTGCCGAATAAGCATGCAACGCCTTGGGCATCACATGGGCGCATATCAAAGTTAAATTCCTACTCACATTTGCTCTGAGGTTTTTTATATTTCTTCGATCAATCAATTGTTTTATTTTTATTATCCATACGGCACATAAGTTAAAACAATACATCCATTCAAGTAATGTATACAACATTCTTGGAAATAAGTCCAACTTATGTACAGTACACTGGTAATGTAGGAGTGTTGATGTTTTTTAACAGAGCTCTTTTCTTTTGTTTAGGACATTTGATGATTACATTAAACCTTTACTGTGCCACATTTCATTAATTTCATTTTCCAATTTGTTCTGGTCTTTGTGCTCTTTGAATAATTAGCTGCCCAGCATGTTCTTCAGTTTCTGTAAGTTGCTTTACATTAACTTGAACATTCCCTTTAAGTGGTTTTGTCGGGATCTCTAACCTTGTTCAAAACTGACACAATATTGATGGATACTGCAATTGAAATATCTCACTAATGTGGCTTCCTTTTGAATAATGTTCTACGGTAGATGCTACTTTACTGCTCGGCTTTTGTGCTGCTAAGCACACATCTTGATTTTGGCTTTACTGGAGCATTAAGGCCTTTAATAGTTTTCTGCTTTTAACACACTAACATGGGCTGTCCAGACCTGAATAGTTTTGATGGGGTTGAGAAAGTTTCCATTTCAGACCCGGTTTTATCTAAAGGATAAAACCGGACGTTCAAAACGTTTACGGCCTCTCACGGTATGTGTAGTGTTCCAGTTGGCACTTTAGAGGAGGGAGGCCTCTCCACAGCCTGATAAAGGCTGTGCGGTGACACCAGGGGAAAGAGAACAGACTTCAGTGGCAGGAATGCTTGAAAGAACCGTCCGCACAACCAGATCAGCAACTCTTCCAGCGAGTATATTTATTCAGACAGGTTGTAAACTCATTAGCATCTCATAGCAGTGGAGGTGGCTCACAGCCACAGTCCACACACACTTAGGAATCCTCAAAAGCCTATCTATTTGAGCATTTATTTGATTTTAATATCAGTTTAAACATCCATTTAAAAAAAAAGTTTTATAGTCTCTCATGAAACAAATTTAAAAAATAATCCAGAGTATCACCTAAACTCACAAGAATGTTTCATAATTACCATAATGGAGAGGAAAAATATGTAAAACGTAGTTTTGCGAACAAACACCACGAGTAAAGCTTTTTTTTTCCCATTCAAAGCTGTAGGTGTTTTGGATTGTGTAAATTTGGCTTGTGTTACTTTCTACGTGTTTTGGGAGACTGGGAGTTGATAGGTTTGAGTGTATGCAGAGACAGCCACAGGTGTGAATGCCATGGGACTGAGGTCAAGAAGGGTAAAGTGAGAGTGTTCAGCTGTCTACTTAGATCAATGTGAAAGAGGAGAATGTTGTGACGGTACCAAACCACAGTATATAGTGAACCTAGCAACGAACAGTCCTAGCAACACTACATTAAGTCTGTTTGTTTGTGTGCTTTATTTGGTAATTTAGCAGCTTCTCTAATCCTGAACGACATTCAGCGAGACATTTTTGCAGATGCAGGTTACAGGTATCAAATCTGCAGCAAGAAAGGTTTAACCTTTTTTCCCACCCAGTGTGTACATGTGTTCAAACTTGTCAAGCCAGTCATCACATCAGAAAACGTCTTTATTTCATTTTTTTTTTTACAGTGTATTGCTCCATTTCGCAACAGTGCAAAATGCAATATTTTAAAGTTCCTCATAAATAACAAACACACCATAAATAAACAAGTATCACCACATTGAACACAAAATTCAAAAAAGCTACAGTCACATTGGAATTGCACAAACAGATTTAAGATGAGCAACTTTTGTATTTACAGTTCAATCAGCAGAATGGAGGCAAAAGTCTTATGTGGTTTTCTCTGCCTTTCTACTCAAAGTCTTGCCCGGATCCACAGCGACTTTTACAGAATATCAGCATGTTTGTAAGACCATCAGCCCCTATTACAATGTGTCCACTCAAACAAACGAAAAGTAAGGTAGTTATAGATTAACGGAACCGGATCGACAAAATCCTTAAAAAAAAAGGCAACTTCTCAGAAGTTTGGAATAGTATCACTGCGCTACACACGAACTGAACTGAACTCAGGCATTAACTGAGTCTAGACGACTCAAAGAAATCAATTTATTTTAGACAATGCAAGTTCAGTGCAACATTCCCAATTCACCCACCACATTTTCTATAGCCAGTATATTTGTTGTTAATTGTACTGTTGTTTCTAAATAGAGTTGGATCAATTTCAACAATGAGGTAATATAACAAGACACCACTCTTGAATATGTATGGAATGAAATATGACAGCACCAAGTGTCAACAGCATTACTCATTAGTGTCAAGTGTTGGTATACAGTAGGTAAACTAGTAACTGCTTCAATGTCAAGTTGAACTGTCATGGGTCCAAGGATTAAATCCACCTTCATGTCCACTTTCAAAATAAATAAATAAATAAATAAGTAGGAATAAAGACAATGTAAAGTCATTTCATTAACTAGTCTGTAGTTCTGCAAGCATCTAAATTATTTTTGCACAAATGTAGCAGACATAAGGTACAGTTTAATGTGCGATCATGCTTGTGGCAGCGAAGACACATGAAGAAATGTAAATAAAATGCTTCATTTCAAATTGCAACAATCATTCCCCTTAATAAGGAGAAACTCCAACCTCACTCATACTTGGACATTCTCTTTGTCTTCTCTGTTAAAGATATGCACTTCACACACCTAAATAAATATATTAAAACACTCTTAAATAGGCATAGGTCTTATCTGTTTCCTTCTTCAAGCATCTTTAAATCAAAATATATTAGAATGTATACATTTTTATAAATACACATTTCTACATAATTATTCTCTGTTTATAAAAAAAAAGGGTTTAAACTCATAGTTCTGAGGGCCTAACTTCTCCGTTGTCTGTGAGCATGCTTTCTTGCAGTGTAGGAGGGGTTTATCACATTGCCTGTTTCTGCCACCTAGTGTGGCATAGGAGCACTACAACATGTTATTCTCCTGTTGGGAGTTGATGCTGATATGTAAACATGCATGGTATACCGAGTCAACAGCTACATTCCAAAAGTAAAATCATTCACTTTCTCTTTTTTGTACATTATTGCAAAAATCCCATTCAAAAGAAAAATATTGCAAAGGACAACAAACCAAAAAACATTTACATCAAACACAATTAGGTGCCCGCCACGTTTCACAATGAGTGTGTCAAACACTAGAGTGGTGGGAAATAAAGTGGAGCTTGAGGAAAGATCGGTCAATGTAACACATCCAGGAACATCTTAAAGAGAGCAGGAACTGGTATCTGTACGATGGAGCTGTACACTGGAGTTTCTGGCATCCAGACTAAATACAGTGCAGTTCAGAATTAATGGCAAACTTGGTCAAGAGCAGTACAATTGGTTTGACGATGATATTAAAATCTTGGTGAATCTTACATCTTTATGAAAAAATATAGTTATGTGTAGAACTTAGAATAAGAAATGATATTTGAGAATACAACACATATTTTTTTTTTTTTCAATTAAAGTTTCATCATGTGCCACTAATTCTGGAGGAAACTGTACATTAACAAAGCCAGGAGCCTCCATCTATCCAGTTACCTGTCCACTTCTCATCTCCTCCCCATCTTAAACAGAGCAGTTGCGTCTCTTCCCAGAGCCAGTCTGGGCTGTAGCAGCAGAGGCTGAGGGCAGCCAAGCGGTGACCCCGTGTCAAAGGCTTGTGGAGGAAACCGAGAGGGTCGGTGAAGAGGGAGGGGGGAAGTTTAGCAGCTCCAGCACAGCCACGCCAACGCTGCTGCGCCGTGTGAACATGCAGGAGGCCGCAACCCATTTGTTGCTGCGTGGGTTGTACTTCTCGATGGAGTTGAGACTGGAGCTCCCATCGTTACCTCCCACCGCGTACAACCAGCCATCCATAGCCACCAGGTCATGGGTGCTCCTGATAATAGATAAAAGACTAATTCAGTACAATCGATTCCACATGTATTGTAGAAGCATATTTTTCTTACACCACATTAGTATATCTTTCTTAAGCTTTTATCAGGAATAAATAATAAGCATGTATTCTGTTTAATCAAGCGAACTACTAAGCCAGCCCCTTTACAGTTGATGCAGTCTGGGCTTTGCATCTCATTCACATAATAGAGCCTACTTTACTGCATGAACATTATCACTAATTGCATAGAAAAAGTGAAAAATGACAAGACTATGTGATGTGCAGATAAGAATACAACAACATTACAAATACAAAGCTCGATTATTATGGCAGTAACTCATCATTATCACAAGGGAGGGTTCTTTCTGTGCCACACTGTTGGAGGACACCAGGAATAATACTTCAGTTAAAAATGTATTGTATCAGTGGACCAATGGGAAATTGGGTAATTTAAGAGACAAAACTCTTTTTCTGTATTTATTACAATTATTCTACACTATTTTCACATAGGTAAAATGGTTTAAAACAGTGATAGATTAATGGGCAATACAGCTTGATGTTTTGAACTGTGAAATGGAGCCTCCTGGCAACTGGATAAGAAAAGAACTGAAAGCCACACAGCTGATTAACACATGGGTTATTCATGGAGCCGCATAGTCAACTGATGTCAGGTTTCCCTGTTCCTACAGCATACTGACGTGGGTCTCAGAGTGTGTGTGTTTGTGTGTTTTTGTTTGTGTGTGTGTGTGGGGGTGTGTGTGTGTGGTATGATTCTGTGTCTGTGTCTAAAGGACTAGATAACAATTAAATCTGCTGATGTGTCCTCAAATCCAAGACTTCTACATCTCTAAATCTCCCTCCCTGATGCCGTTCCTCTCGTATCAATACAATGCTGTGATTGGGTGCATGTTTGCCTGCTTTAATCACCCGCACAAGTTTTATTTTCTAAGAAATAATGAAGAGCCGACTGTTGGAAAATAGGTCATTTGATGTTTATGCCGTAAGAGGGCTTTAGAATTAAGGAAGACATCCAAATGCCCCAAATCCTACGCCATGAAGAGTAAAGATTTTTAACAGCTATAACCGCAGCAGGGGAAACTTTTTTCTTATTAACTAAGATTTGTAAGAACATTTTTTCAATTTTAATTGACTGAATTTATTAGAAAATTGTGCTTATTAACACATCAATACTCTGTTATATATTTTTACATATGCATTTAAGAAGTACAATATAAAACAAACACAAGTTTCAGGTGTCCGCTATATTCCATAATATTTTTAGAATTTGCTTCGGGCCAATCCAAAGTGGACCACGGGCCACAGTTGGCCCCCAGGCCGTAGGCCGTAGTTTGGGCACCCCTGCTCTACACAGACAATTTTATTCTTCAGCCTTTGTAAAATAGATGTTATCTTTTATTCAGCTGTAGGCAAAACTGGAGTTATCACAGTCCCCCCTCCCTCATAAGGATGTCACATGGTTGTTAAGAAGCCTAAAAAGAGACGATAAAGCTGGGCAAGCCTAAACAAAAACCTTGAGTGCATTTGAGGGCAATGCATTACAGCAGTTAGTAACTGTGATTTGAACCAGTGCCATTTCTGTTATATTCTTGATTTAATAAATAATACATATTTCTTTTTAATCCCATAATGACTTGACGCTTTGGCAATGTTGTCTCTGCCAATTAATTATTTAATTGAATTAAATAGTAGAACCGGGTCGTCCTGATGGCTAAGTTGGCAAAGATGTGTCTCACTAAATACATTCCCTGGATTCCTCCCAGGACCCGTTTCATATTTCATCGTCTCTCCAATGAAAGTGGCTATCTCTTTTTCTTAAGTATTTAAACTTATTGAAAGGCATCTCTATGTTTGTGATATTATAGTAAGGAGTACATTAGGCTGCAAGTTGCTTCATTACTTGCTCTGGTGGCTCTCATCTTTCACAACTTAAAAGGGGGTCTTCCCAGTCAGACATTTATCTCTGCAGAGCTTATTATGCAGTTTCACTGTTTCATGTGAGTTAAAAAGTGAGTTGTGACAGCAACACATATTTGCCACATCATTTATGGTTGTTGGAGCTGTGTTTTAAATACATCCATTTACATCTTGCCACTGTACCTGGTCTTGATTAATCTGTTTGTACTAATATGAGTTGTGGGTGCAGGCTGACCTGCGTATGTTCATGGGGGCCACTCCCTCCCAGGTGTTGGCCTTGGGGTTGAACCGCTCCACAGAGTTCAGGCAGCTGGTGCCGTCGTTGCCTCCTGCGACATACAGCATGCCGTCCAGCACGGCCACCCCGGCACTGCTGCGCCGACTCAGCATGTTGGCAATGGCTGTCCATGTGTTGCTCTGTTCATTATATCAAGAGACTGAGCATTAGTCACATGTTTATGGATACAACTGTTGAGCACTTTTCTTCTCTGCATTCAGTTAGTGCTGGCAACAAACAAGCTTTTTTGATGATACATTTAACTGCATGCAACAACACACCTGGGGGTCATATTTTTCCACCGTTGCGAGATGTGAGGAGCTGTCGTAACCTCCCACTGCAAACAAGCTGCTATCTGCAGGGGGAAGGGGAGTAAACATTCAAAATGTAAATATTGCCAGTTAAATAACAAAGTTGTAACTCCCTCTTGATTTCAGACATAGAAATGCAGAAAGTGAAACATAAACATACAGTTAATCATATTATGTTTTCAAGAAGGTTCCTTCCTACCCAGAGTTGCTACTCGGACATATCTCCTACGGGTGCTCATGGCAGCAATGGATGTCCAGGTACTGGTCAGAGGGTCGTAACGCTCTGCACTAAAAGAGGAGAAAAATACAAACTTTTATTTGATATAATGACACTGAAAGACCGCCCTATTTAGATAAAGGACTTTATGACCTGGCAAAACAGGATCAAGTCAAACCAAAAAGATGTAACAGTAATCAACAATGTAGCAAATCTAGCTTTAAAGTATCAAGATGTTCAGCATTCATTGCCAAAATGTTAGTTTGTGTGTACCTATTAAGGCAGGAAGCTCCATCATAACCTCCAGCAGCGTACAGCAGGCCATGCAGGACCGCTACACCCAAACAGCTCCGCCTTGTTCCCATGGAAACTTCAGGTTGCCAGGAGTTAGTGATGGGGTCGTAGGACTCTACAGTAGCGAGGTCTGAGGTGCCATCATACCTGAGGGGATGTGGATATAAATACATAAAAAAAAGGCTTTTTGATGACTGACGTGGAAGCATTTTGCCTCAAAGAATACCTTATTTATTTTTCAACGCTGCATCCACGAAAAAAAGGTTGTGATGTAATCGATCAGGAAAGTTATACTTAAAATGGTTTGTTTTTGCCACTGTAAGATTTTAACTATAAGCTTCTGATAACTTTATGGAAAGGACCGTACTACAGAGACACAAAACATTTTTCTTTACCTATTGCTTGATACAAAGTGAGGTTTTAACCATTATATTTTGGTAACAAGTGAAATGGCACATTAACAAATGGATGACCAAGCGAAAGGTAAAGAAAACTGTTTATTTCTCTGGAGGGTCATTTCCCTTCCATCCTGGCGCAAATAATAACAATCTGAGCTTGTCAGAGAGAAAAACATATTGCATTGCAGCCTGTTTTGTGCCTCTGTCTGCAGCTTTATTTCTCAATACTGAGCCAATTACAAAAATGTTTCTCTAATGGTCACTTTGTAACATAGGAAAATAAGGGCATGTTTGAAAAATACAGATTTAGATTTTTTTAATTATCTCTGAAAGAACACAAAAAAGGCCAAAGAGAAAAGAGTCAAGAAAAAAAAAAATACTTTTAGTTTTGATGAAAGCCAAAAACAGAACAAGCACTTCATCAGGAGCACAAGAAAAAAGCTGTTTTGCATAATCATCCCTCAAGATTATTTTACATGTTCAAGCTTCCTCTTTGTAAAAAGGCAGATTTAGTTCTTATCATACAATGTAGTATTTGAGTTGGAGATGAGATGGTGGGTTAATTTGTTTTGGTTCAAAGGCCAGCACCATAAATCTCACCACTTACCCTCCAACAGCGTAAAGTCTATTCCCAATGGCTGCCACTCCCACCCGTGCACGCCGAGTGGACATGGACGCCACCATGTGCCAGCGATCAGTCCTGGTGTCATACGCCTCGCAGTCTCCATGAATGGCAAACAGGCTGCCACCACCTGCAGACACAAAGAAAAACAACATTGTTAATAGCAATGCTTTGACGTGAATATGAAAATCAAAAAAAGGAACAGATAACAGATAGTAAAGGAACATTTTACTACTTCTACTTTTTTATGCATGCTTCTACGTAACATTAAGCTGTCTTTGGCTCTTTTTCTGCTGTAACAACGTACATTTCCCCTCTGTGGGACTAATAAAGGTATTCGGTTTCTGATTCATTTCAGAGAAAGGTTTTTCAAGATGCCGGGTTTTGAGATGATTTTGGCTGAAATTTGGGTTCACTGCTAGGCTCAGTGCAGGATACAAAAAGAAAAAGATATGATCTCTTAATAAAAGTAAGCAATATTAAGTGGCATTCATTGCTCATATCTTTTAGCCATAACCGTCATATAAGGTTTTACGCTTTACTGCAAGGCACCCCCTTAGACCTTGAAAATATTTTAACTGTTATATTTTACATTTGTATCTCCCAGCTGTAAAAATATGGCTGCTTGCAGTGACGTCAGAAGCTAAAGTTAATTAAAGTGTGGTCAAAGTGTACCCTAGTGGGTACCTTCAGGGGCACACTGACCAACGGCGAAGAGCACAGGGCTAGCGCCCTCACAGCGTCGTGGGCGTGTCCGGCTGTTGCCGAGGACCCCTCTCTGCTCGGGCATCAGGTGGTACTTTAGAGCCTCGATCAGAAGGTCCTTGCACTCAGAGTGGTGACGCACCAACAGCTCTGTATCCACGTTGCTCATCAGAAAGTCGCGCCTCAGCAGTGGCAGCCGCACACACTTCATCAGCTAACAGAAGAGAGAGATTGTCGGGTTGAATTAGGCTAAGGAGGACATTTTGTAGAGGACTTATTTTAGACAGAGTTTAGTCAAGCTAAAATCATTAAGTCATGAAAATCATTAGATGTTCAGAAATAAAATAAGTAAGGAAGCCTTACCCAAGGTACATGCTGCCTACGTCCATCTACATCATTTTTCACCCAGCTCAACACAGCCCGGTACACTTCCTCTTCTGATGGCACATTGAGATTGTCACTGGAGATCAAATCCAGGACCTGGATGGACAAGACAAAGCAGATGGACAGAGACATATATTGTAATCATTTAAAAGAGCAACTTTTAACCTGAAAAGCATGGTCCCTTTAATTCAACTTTTAGCATCAAAAAAGCATGAGAGGGACAAAAACATGACAACAAGCAGGAAGTAAGTTAATCTGGCAAAAAAACTGCATTATTTCCTGTGTGTTGTAAATGACTTTGTCAGCCTCGCTTCCTTAATTTGTTTTACTTTATTCAGACTGATATTTGAGAGGGATGGGAAGCGGTCTGTTTCTGCTAATCAAATAGGATCATCACATTTAAAATAAAGCGGACACACAATAATTTCCGGTACCAATTTTAACATTCACACGTAAATGCTTATGTGTCATTTAGGTCAGTATGCATGTAGTGGTGCTGTGATATATTTAGGAAATATAGCATTGAGTGTATACAGTATAAATTCCCACTACTTATGTTTGTGTGGCACAGCGAGTGCTGCAGTCTGAGTGGCTGGCTGGCACTGTTCCCAGATCAACCCAAAGCTTGCTGGCTGGGTAGGTGGGGCCAGAGCAGCCAGCTGCTGCAGCTGTCCTGCCTGTCCAGGGCAGATCAGGGCAACAGTTAGCAGCCTTCCAGGAACAGCCCGCACTAATCCCAAGTCACACAGAGAAATACTGCTGCCACTGCTGCTACTGCTACTGCTACTGCTGCTGCTACTGCTACTGCTGCTGCTACTGCTGCTGCTACTGCTGCTACTGCCCCGCCCTGCAGTCTCCTGCCTTGCCTCTGCATATGTAAACACTGCATCACATATACACAAACAAACATTTGTGTGTGTGTGTGTGCACGTGTTTGGAGGAGATTGGGATTATGAGTGTATCAACTGTTTTTGTAGTCTGGCATCAGGACTGTATGAATGAAAAAGCAGTTTGGGCTGAATAAAGATGTTTGTTATGTCTTTACACACAACACACACAGTAATTAGGATGTGTTGTCTTTAAATTATCCTCCATCAGTGAAACAAAACCAAAGCAGATATCCCTGCCATGCCTTGTCACTTCCTTCACCTAACACCAAAATAAATATGGGGGATATTTAACAGCTCCATTGGTTGTTTGGAGCAGCCAGTACATGAATCTGAATCTGACGCAGAATTATGATGGACACAGAAGAGCCGGGGACAGTGAGCTAAAGGAAATAGAGAGCAGAAGAACAGAAACAGACAAAATAAATTTGTATTTATTTTTTGCAGCTTAACTTTGAGTGTTTAAATGGACACTGCACACTCGGATTGTATTCAAGGCTTTGAAGGCCAAATGCAGACAGAGTGTGATTTACTATCATAGAGCACAAGCTCTTCAGTGCAGTGGGGATTGTTCCTCGGAGAGGCAACAAGATAATGGGAAAATGATAATGGTGGGTGTTTGAAACAAACACCATATCATATGACAGATGATGCAGTTCTCTTCCTTATTGAGAGATTAACACAAACACATTGAACTCACACCTGACTGGAGCAAAAGTATCACCTTCTGGTTTTTTAAATGCAGTCTCGTATTATGAGGCTAACGAAAAATATAAGCAGCAATACAGGATCAAATATTCACGCATGCACATCAGCCCAGCTACCAAAACAAAACACAGAGAGAGAGCGTGACTTCATTCTCTGCTCAGGATTACTCTACTATATCTTTACATAGCAAATAGTTGTGTGCTGCTATATTCATGCTCTGAATGACCCATATAAAACCTTTAAAGTAAAATGAATCCCAACAAATGTCTCATAGTAAGCTGAGCCAGGTCTGGTCAGGAAATATTGTTGTCTAGTGGCTTTTAAATTGAAAAATATATTCTACTTTCATACCCATGTTCCCCATGACGACTGTATATAACAAGGCTGCTCAATCTCATGGTTAGCAGTTGACAATAACAGTTACCAGAACGCAGATTTAACAACAACTGTTTCAGATGATGAATATAGCACCATTAAACCCTTTAAAAGCACCAGTGGGACACAGCAGGAGATGGAAAAAGCATCGACCTTACATCACTCTTACCTGTTTCAGCGGCAGCAGCATGAACTCCTCTGTCTTGGAAACCTCCACAAAGTGCTGCAGGACATACTTGTGTGCGGACTTGAGCAGGTCGCTGCAGGAGTGCGTGTCAGCGAAGCCTCGGATGCCCAGGCAGTTGGAGGGGTCCAGCTGGCTGAGGAGGAACTTACAGCAGGCGTCCCGCACCCCGTTGAGCTGCAGCAGGCTTGCTGCTGGGAGCAGCGTCTAGAGTGCAATTACAGGTGGAAACACACTGAGTATGTTGGCGCTTTGATAAATGAGGTCAAATTAAAAGTATTTTTCCACATTCTTGTCTATAAATCTAAAATATTCTACCTTACCTGCACGTTTCCTTCCCCAACCACAATTTCTGCTGTGTAGGAGTACTGGACCAGTTGCTCCAGAGCCTGACAGTCGATGTCATGGAGGGTCACATGGGTCTGCCGACTCTCCGACATCTCGTCTGCATGAACGCACAGAATGAGAGCTGTTACATGTGAGTAAAAAATCACTGTTTAATCATGCTGACACATGACAGTCCCTGATTTATACAGAATTTAGAAAAATATTTCACATTTAACAAATGTTGCCATTCTTGCTATTCATATATATATATATATATTATATACTATATATATATTGTATTATTCAATATTTGACTTTGATACATTTCAAATTCATTTTTCAGCATTTATCGACAAGCAAATGTTTCATCACTTATACATTAGCAGATATTACAAGCACATTTCTACAGAGAAACTGTGAGTTAGCTGTTTTGATGATAGTGAAAGATGTGCAGATTCTGTTCAAATGGTCTAAGTGACTGGGTCCGACAAGAAGTATCCTAGCAGTTGAGTCTGAAAGCCAGACAAGTGAATATCTGGAGACCCATTGTACCCTCAAAGGACTCTAGTAATGAGAGGAAATGTAAAACTCACACACACCTCAACTGACCACCTGTGCCCCAGACAGGAAAAGGGGGAAGGAAGCCGTGATGCTAAAAGGATGAGGTGACCTTCACTGCACACATTGTTGGGCTATCAAACTCTGAGCAACAGAGCCAAATGATGCAATGTGTCTGAGGCATGAAAACATGCCGTGCTTGCATGAGTTTCAGGGATAAAAGCACAAAACTAAGCCAGGGTTTCCCACACATAGACTATACTTGGGGGGGCAGACCACGACGCAATCTGCGATCGATTAACTTGTGGACAATGATCCCTAGCTCTACGCCTCCTGTACCCAGTCCGGACTGGCCATCGGGAGGACCGGGGGGTTTCCCGATGGCCTGGCCTGTTAAGTGGCCTGCCTCACACAGGGTGACTGGCTGTCTACATGATGTGGCCTGCCGACATGGCCACTGTCATACAGATCATAAATCAAAGCCCTTGATTGGTCTCTGTGTGTCATTCAAGCTCGGGATAAGCTCCTGCAGCTCAGGTGACGGTAAAGGACTCTTGAGTGTTCTAGATACGCGCTTAACTTACGTCGCCTAAGTCTGCAGTGGGTCTCAACGTTTGGTCACCATTATGGTAACACAGCATCAGCTATTTTTCATTGAGGACGCTCAGTGTTCTTTCATATGGATATGGTATTGGCTTCTACTCGGCCCTGATTTTCATGGCGATTATTTAAATGTATACAGTTCTGTTTCATATAGCGTGATTCCATAGATGCTAGTCTGCTTCATTTTGCCCTTCACAATGCACGCAATGAGCATTAATTCCAACCATTTAAAAAAATATCTGACCGGGGGGAGCCATGCCCACCTCTGAACGCCCGCTAGCGACGATTTGAGGTCCACCCCCGGCTAAAAACTACAATGGAAGGTGCGCTAAATACATTAACGCAATTTTTTTAACCAAGCAGGTAAAACCCCCCCGCGCATACGACCACCCCGCAAGTATCATTTCAAATCGTGGGAAACCACTGCTAGGGGCAGAGTCCAGAGCTGAACGTACTGTAAACATAGCATGGAAGCTAGGGCGCAGGATGCCAGCACCACTCTTGGCGCCTTGATTTCTCGTTGTAGAGACATGCAGCACAATGTCACACAGCAGGCCAACGTGTCGCACTCCGGGTTCGATGGACACGAAGGAGGTCGTGTACGTGGCCGCTTAAGAGTTGGTGAGATTGCTGTGGCCATCGCGGTTGAGCCAGCCTGCATGCCCCCCGAATCCCATCATGGTGCTGGACGTGGCTCGGCCTTGCCTTGCGGCGGCAACTGGAATCTAACAGAAAAAAGCATTTTCATGCCAGTTTATAGCCGCAAGTGTCCAATTAACTATAAAAATGTATGTTGGTCATCAGAAAATCGTTAACCTGCAACGCTTCACTGATCAGCTCTGGGAGGTGTATGACAATCATTGTACCTATTGTTTTCTGTGATAGTGACCGTCCTGACAGCTGTGTGGCAGGAAGCCAACTACCATGACAGAAATCTCAGTACGTTACAAAAGTGTAAGTTGGCTGGCCTGATATTGACACAGGGTGTCATTATTACTCATATCTACTGGTTTGTATCAATGCATGCTTCTAATCTATTGGCGTCTTGGTTTATTTAAGTTGCCAAGACTCCCATTATCAATGTATTCTCCCCAGAATTAAGCTGTGAACACCCCCAAATCTCACCCCTGCGCCTTTGGTTAGGCAGGGTAGGAGGAGAGGAGGATGGTAGCCTGAGTTAGCCCTTTCCCTTGTACTCTCATCCAACAGGCTCTCTGATGGAAACCGCAACTTCAAATGGGGGTTGCATAACCCCTTGTCACACGTTATCTTAGGAGTTGTAGTCTGATGATATTATTTAGGATACACCATGCTAATACTAGAGGAGGTTAACAGACTAAGTTACATCGGAGCGAGGCCTAACAAATCAGGAAATCTATTTGACTCCAACATACTGAATTGGATACATTACCAGGTGTGAAGAAAAGGGCATATGAAGCAGAAAGCCAATGGGTTTGAAAAGTATAAGCCAGGTTATTCCAAACTTCTTTCATGGGAGCCTCCCACATAATGTATGGTTAAAATATCCTTAAAGTGCCCGTCTGGTGATGCTTTTCATTTTAAATTCATTATTCATGTTTGTGTATATATAAGGAGGAAGGTTGTTTGACGATAACACAAGTCTATGAGAACACAACAGGCAGCCACCACTGACTCGTAAATGAAGAATATTGATCAGTTTGAGGCCATTAATAAAAACTTAAGCTAAAAACACAAACACACATGTAATTGAGTCTTCTTAAGTTGAGTGCAGGTCTCTCTCTGCCTAAATACCACAATTCCCATTTAGTATAAATGCTTCATAATTATGTTGTCATGCTGTTCAGAGGCACTCTTTCAACACTCTGACTTGCCCAAAGAGAATCATCTCATATGTCATCTAACAGCTCCTGGCCCGCTAGCTCCGGGGTCCATTTTCAAAACACAATGGACAATCAAAAACAACCAACCATGTTCCTTCTGTGAGGGAACAATCTGCTCTCATGCCTCAGGGAATAATAAAGAGACAATGTGCATACAGACCATGAAATAACAGCAGTTTGAGGAAGAAGTAAAAAATAATAATTGCATCAGTTAAAATAACAGAGTGAAGCACTTGTCCCTGTCCATCCCAGCTTGCTCTCTAAAATCTCTCCTCGCTCTGGCTTAATAAAACTTGCCTAGCATCCACACAAAGACTCTGGCTTCTTAACAGACTGCACACTCTTGATGGATACACAAATGTTGCATTGTAATCTTTTTTGGACATAATGGTGTTTCACCCAACACCCACTCCATCTATTTTGAATAACAACAGCTTATCAGCTGCTGCAGAATGAATGTGGTCATTCCTTTACCGGTGTTTGTTTGCGTTATCCTTGGACGACAGTATCTTCCTCCACAGTGATGGGAGATAAGTCATCAGCTGTCGCAGTCAGATTGGTTTAAAAGTGTTACCAGTGTCCTGGCTTTTCCTGTCCATAATTCTTAGCCAGGGCATCCGAAAAAGAAGGAAGGCTCCGTTTCGTGCGTACAAGGGCGGTTGCGTCCAATGCAAAAAACTGCAAATGAAATCCTGACATCGGTTTGTGTAATGGTGGTGCTGAAACTGCAGGCGGTGAAAAAAAGCTATGCTCGAAATATGGTGCAGT